GCCGAGTTTTGGGCCCCCTGAATAGTTTTGGGGTAGGGGCTGCCCCCCATATAACCCCTCTTCTGAAACAGCTTCAGTGGTTGTCAGCTCATTTTGAGGCCCAATTCAAGGTGCTCATATTAGTGCTTAAAGCTCTAAACAAGTCAGGCCTCAGATATCTGAAAGACTTCCCTACAGGCCTTCTCGATTGCTGAGATCAGCAAAAGGGCCTCTCTTGGTAGTCCTCTGCCCTCAAAGGCGTGTGTTTGTGTGTGTGTGTAGATTTGGGAACAGGGCCTTCTCTGTGGTGGCCCCTTAGCTGTGGAACTCACTCCCCACGAAGGTGTGTCAGGCACCTTCAGTATACAGCAAGTCATATTTTTATGACTCGCCTTATTTTTGTGACTGTAAGTTGCTTTAAACTATTTTTTATATTGCGTTTTAATTTTGTAACCCACCTGGAACCTTAGGGTGAAGGCAGGTAACTACTACTACAAATAATAATAATAATAATAATAATAATAATGCAGCCTGTTAAGGGTTCTGAGAATTACAGCTCGTTGAGGAAGAAACTACATCTCCCATGATTCTTTGGGGGAAGTAATGTGCTTCAAATGTATGGTGTGGATCTGAAGTCAGAGAGCAGTGAAAAGTCAAAAGGTTGTCCTCAATGTTAATCCTACTCAGAGTAAACCCATTGAAAACAATGGGCACCACTAACTTAGGTTGATTCCTTTTAATGGGTCCTCTCTTAAGTGCCACTTCAGAAAAACACAACCCAAAGTTGCTAAAAATAGCGTTTGTAAAACAGCTGAATCTGTGGTCTGAAATATCTAAGAAAATTGACTGGGTATCTTATAAAGAATTATTAATGGAAATAGATCATGAGCTGAAATTAAAGAGGTTTGAAGATATAAGAGGATTGTTAACATTAGTTACAATACCATCAACAATTATACACTGGGTGAGGGATTTTGGATATGACATACAATTGGCAGCATGGGAGAGGTTATGGAATCGGGACTTGAAAGTTCACAGCGTGCTATACCATGAAAGAAAACCATATGAAAAGGATGTGCTGCTGGTATTTAAAGGTAAAGGTAAAGGGACCCCTGACCATTAGGTCCAGTCGTGACCGACTCTGGGGTTGCGGCGCTCATCTCGCTTTATTGGCCAAGGGAGCTGGCGTACAGCTTCCAGGTCATGTGGCCAGCATGACTAAGCCGCTTCTGGCGAACCAGAGCAGCGCATGGAAACGCCGTTTACCTTCCCGCCGGAGCGGTACCTATTTATCTACTTGCACTTTGACGTGCTTTCGAACTGCTAGGTTGGCAGGAGCAGGGACCGAGCAACGGGAGCTCACCCCGTCACGGGGATTTGAACCACCGACCTTCTGATCGGCAAGTCCTAGGCTCTGCGGTTTAACCCACAGCGTCACCCGCACCCCTATTTAACCCCTAGTAAATTAGCTAAAATATATAAAGCAAGATCAAATGGATGCTGGAAATGTAAGGAGAAAGAGGGCACCTTCTAACATTTGTGGTGGACTTGAAAAGTAGTAAAAGAATTTTGGGAGATGATATGTAACAAATTGGGAAAAAAAATGTTTAACATTTTCCAAGAAACCAGAAGCTTTTCCTTGTAGTATTATCATATTCCTAAAATATTATGATATTTGCTGCTCCCCAGAAGAGATACAGAAAATCGTGGAAGCAAGCTTCTTATAACGGTCTCGGTACAATACCTCTCCTTTTGGAAATATAAATGGTGCATAAATAATGGTATAACTCACTGTTTGGTTTTTGTAATTACACAGAAAACTGCCTCATATCAAGTGAAAAATTTGGTTCACCTAGCTCAATATTGTCTACAATAGTTAGCAATAGCTCTTTGGGATTCCAGGCAAGATTCTTTATCTGGGACCTACAACCCTCTCTGCTATTAAAAGATTGGTATATGCCCCCCCCCATATTTTAAAGACATGTATGCCACCTTGCTCCCAAATGACGTCCAAATCACGTTAAACAAAATTCCATGTGTGTCATGTGGGAATTGTGCTTAGTCATTCCCTCCAGCCTTGTTTTTAACCACTCCCTCCCACAGCCGGCCACTGAGCCTAAGAGATTACTGAGCCTCTGGTTGTGTCAGGATGTGACCCTTGCCCACACACATTTCTCTGCTTCCATCCTAGGCTGCATTCACACTCGTGCTGCCAGGAGTGAGTCAGCAGTCAATCACACTTAGCAAGTGGAATTTACTATTAGGAAAAAAACAGGAGCTGCACTGGAGTGTCAGGCCTAAGGAGCACAGTAGCTCGTCTTCTGTAGGTCTTGCCCCCCGTGAAGCTGTTGCAGAGACTGAAGGTCCCCTCCTTCTCACAGCTGCCTGTCGCTTCTTCCAGGATTTCCCCCAAGCAATCTGATCCTCAGCCTGCATGAGACTAATTTCTCCTCCACCCTCTTCATGCCTCCCCTGGTTCTGGGAGACTAGGGGAGAGGGGAGCTTGTCACAGCAGGAGGGGCAGACTCCCGGGCATCTTCACCAGCCTGACTCATCTCCTCCTCTGGGCCTCCCTCATTCAACTCTCCTGCTTCAGCTTCTGCCTCTGATTCTGGACTCCTCTCTGCCACAGACTCTCCCTGCTCACCAAACCCTGATACTTCTTCAGCTTCTGACACCTCCGCCTCCCAGTCTTCTCCTTCATAGTCATCCTACCACCAATCCCCAGGCTCTGAGCCTTCTTCCCTTGCTGGTTCCCCAGCTGGTTCCTCCCACCTGCTTACACTCGCTTGTGTTTCCAGTGCTGGGTTTTTAATCCGTGTTCACCCCACTATCCAAAATGCATAGGTACCCTGCGCTTCGTTGCGAAATGTGACTGTTCGATACGACTGTGGCACTGATAAAAACAAAGTTGATGTGAACTGCTATGGGGAAGGAGGTGCAAAACACACCGGGAGGGTGGCAGAGGCAGGAGAAAACAACTTCATTGCACCCTAAGGCAGTACAGTGGTACCTCGGGTTAAGAACTTAATTTGTTCTGGAGGTCTGTTCTTAACCTGAAACTGTTCTTAACCTGAGGTACCACTTTAGCTAATGGGGCCTCCCACTGCCACTGCGCCGCCGGAGCACGATTTCCGTTCTCATCCTGAAGCAAAGTTCTTAACCTGAGGTACTATTTCTGGGTTAGCGGAATCTGTAACCTGAAGCATCTGTAACCTGAAGCTTATGTAACCCGAGGGACCACTGTAATGTGGTACCTCTGGTTACGAACTTAATTTGTTCTGGAGGTCTGTTCTTAACCTGAAACTGTTCTTAACCTGAGGTACTACTTTAGCTAATGGGGCCTCCTGCTGCTGCCGTGCCACCGGAGCACAATTTCTGTTCTCATCCTGAAGCAAAGTTCTTAACCCGAGGTAATATTTCTGGGTTAGCGGAGTCTGTAACCTGAAGCGTATGTTACCTGAAGCGTATGTAACCTGAGGTACCACTGTAATGTGAACACATGCCCAATGAACAAAGCACACATTGTGTGTATCCCTAGCCACATTTGGAACTGCCTTCCTTCCACAAAGCCCGATTAAAGGATCCAGAGATGAAGTGGAACTCTCACAGAGCAACATCCCAAATTGTGTGTGGCTTATTGTATATTTTTTAAAAAATTAAATCAATTTTTATTTTCTGGTTTTATGTCCTTGCCTGTCCCAAGGTGCTTCTTTCTCACTGTGTACCACCTCCCCTGCAATCCTGGCTTATTTTTTATCTCGGAGCGCAGGCATGAGAAAATGGGCTTAGATCCTGTGTGCAGGTTCCCCACAAAGCATCTGGTTGGCCTCTGTGAGAACAGGATGCTGGACTCGATAGGCAACTGGCCTGATCCAGCAGGCGTCTTTTATGGGTTTGTGTTTTTTTTTAAAGCAACTGGGCTGGCATTGTGCAGCAGGAGAGGGAGAGGCAGTCCCATTATCTAGACGCATTAGTTGTCACCTAGTTAGGTTGGAAGTTCGCTGTGAACTTTGCCGTAGAAACGCAAATCGTTAATCAGTTAAAACCGAGACAATCCGCCAAAAACAACAACAACCAACCTTTCATCAACGGAGAGCCTGAAATGTAGTATTTAGCGGATACACAGCTGTGAAGCCATTTTGATAAATGAGAGATAGATGCTGCCAACATCATCTGTCACCGTCAGCTTTGATAAACGACCCTCCATTTATTGCTGGGCGCGGAAGACTCTCGTGCGTGTGTACGCTGGTATGAATGGGATGCATTCTGTATTACTGAAGTGATATCATGGAGCTGGATTTCCCCACAAAACGCAGAGCTCCCTGCTGTAGGTGCCAGTGATGCCACATGATGTAGAAGGCTTTCCCCTCTGCCTTCCATGTGCACATGGGTAAACATTGTGCCTCTGTAAAGCAGGAGCACGGCTGTGTCGGTTTCATGCCAAAAGGAAATAAAACATTCCAGTATAGATTGGTACCTTGGTTCTCAAACACCTTGGTACTCAAACAACTTGGAACGCAAACACTGCAAACCCGGAAGTAAGTGTTCCGGTTTGAGAACTTTTATTGGAAGCTGAATGTGCTCTGTTTTAAGTGCCACACTCCCGTTTTGAGTGTTACACCGAGGTTGGTCTGTTTTTGCTACAGTGGTACCTCGGGATGCGAATGGGATCCATTCCGGAGCCTTGTTCACATCCTGAAGCGAACGCAGTGCGCGTCTGCGCATGCACAGGTCGCAGTTCGCTGCTTCCGTGCATGCACGTGACGTCATTTTGACCGTCTGCGCATGTGCATGTGGCGAAACCCGGAAGTAACACGCTCCGTTACTTCTGGGTCGCTGCGGAGCGCAACCCGAAAATACTTAACTTGAAGCACATTTATCCCGAGGTATGACTGTATTTATTTCGCATTTTTGTTTTTGTGGCTGTGTGGAACCCAGATTCAGGCAGGTAGCCATGTTGGTCTGATGCAGACTGAAAAAAATAAAAAAATTGTCCGGTAGCACCTTAGAGACCAACTACCGGTAAGTTTGTTCTGGGTATAAGCTTTCGTGTGCATGCACACTTCTTCAGATACAGAAGATACAGATACAAAAGTGTATCTGAAGAAGTGTGCATGCACACGAAAGCTTATACCCAGAACAAACTTAGTTGGTCTCTAAGGTGCTACTGGACAATTTTTTAATTTTTTTATGTGTGGAACCCAGTTCAGCTGATGATTGTGTGACTGCAGCGCATTGTTTATTGCTTTCATTTTATGGATCAATGGTCTCGTTAGATAGTAAAATTCATGTCAAATTGCTGTTTTGGGGGTTGCTTTTAAAAGTCTCGAATGGATTAATCTTTTAATTACTTTCTATGGGAAAGCGTGCCTTGGTTTTGGAACGCTTTGGTTTTGGAACGGACTTCCGGAACGGATTAAATTTGAGAATTAAGGTACCAGTGTAGTTTTAGGATTTATTCAACCAATTCCCTTGTAAGTTACCCCTTTGGATTTTCTCTACATATATCTGTTAGACAACTCCCACCACTCTCTGCCCCCTGACCATAACAGCTGGGGTCAATGGGAGTTGCAATCCAACCACATTAGGACCATTGATTGTGTCGGGTGATTCTTTTGGTTTGAAAGCCTTGAGAGTCACTTCCGTTTATTTCAACTGGGTTTCGTTTCGTTGCGGAGTTTCTTTTTCTCCGTGTTGTTTGAAAGCCTTGAAGTCACTTTCGTTTAGTCTGGGTTTTGCTTTTGTGTTTCTTTTCCTTCGTTTGTGGGAACAAAACAGAAACTGAATGTTAAATCCAGGCTCCCTCCTCCTCCTCCTCCCCTCCCCTCATCCAGATTCATGGTTTATCTTGCTGCAAAGATTACTGCAGTCCTCCTCAAAGTTAACTCTTGTGGTTCCTCTCAGTTGATCGGCTTATTCATAGGAATCATAGAACCGTAGAATTTGTTGAGCGCAAATACATTTACAAAAGAGTTCAGAGTCTTAATTCAGCACATTGCAGTGGCATCTGGGGTTGCCTTCAGTTGAATCTCAGGTGTGTAAGGCCAGGGACCATAAATAAACGCAAACATGATTAACTTAATGCACCCCAGCATTCATTCCACAGGTTATTCAGAATCAGCCAAGACTTTCTACGAAACAGTTAATAACATAACAGCGTTAGTTGAATGACATTATTTTCCTTGCCTGTTTGTATCAGTTGCAAAATGTTACCCTCTACAGACAACTTGAAGTTACTGCAGATATTATGAGATTGAGAACTCTCTTCTTCCTTTTGGTCAACACCCCCTGGCCGCTAAATGGGGGAGAAATTCAATTCAGTTCACATTTAAATTGGAATACGCCCCATTTTCACTTTCTGAAACAATAGGAGAACCAAACCACAGCCTTCAATATTTGCACTTACCCACATTTTGCAATGTGGTTTCCCAGCCAAACGATAATTACAAAAATGCATATATCAGGAGAATATGTACATAAAGATGAACGCGCTAGTGAAATTAACGTTCAGAAATGCATCGTATTAGGAGAAATTGCTTGCAGATATGTATACATTAATTAAAAATGCATACAAAAAATGTGTTTATTGGAGGAAATTCATACTAAAATGCTGAAGAAGCTCCATTAGGATATATATATATATTATTATATATTGTATATTGTATATTATATATTATACATCATATATTATATATTATTGCTGAAGAAATGTGTAGGATTGAATTTAAGACTGGAAAAACAAGAAACAGAGAGAACTGACAGATCCTTTCATCCCTAGTTGCCACATTCTCTAATGTCATCATTTGCAGGTGAGAGGTAATTGAGATGCCTGCAAATCTCAACATTTCTTGCCTGTTTAGCTTTGAGGATAAATATACAGAAGTAAACTCCTTCACTGACCCTGATTCACATCCCAAGTGTTTTTGCTGGGCTGGAACATTCACTGAACTCTGATAATGTCTCTTGTTTGTCGGGATGGAAGACATATAAGGGTGTGTTGTGTTGTCGATTTTATTTTATTTTGATTTATTATATTTATATGCCACTTTTCATTCAAATGAACCCCAAAGCGGCTTACAAACAAAAAATAGCAATGACATGACAGAACATCACAAATTCAACATAAACCGTATAAAATACTTAACAAATAACCAAAGAAACAAGTACATTCTGTAAAACACTGTTGCCAAAGCAACAACTAAAAAAATAAAAATAAGCTAAACATCATAATTAAAACAAGAGTCATGTTATATGGTTTACAAATCAGTACAGCATTTATAATCTATAAAACAACATTAACAAAATAGCAGCCATAAAAATAAACTAAGCACTGTTAAGTTCATACACACGCTCTCTACACTCCCACAGCAGGTAACAATAATTAAAACACAATGTGAAAAAACAGTTTAAAACAGTTTATAATCGCAGAAATAAGGTGGCTCCTAAAAACCATGTCAAGAAAGCCAGACATGCAGGGCCGTCTTACCCATGGGCACTAGAAGAAGAAGAAGAAGAGTTTGGATTTGATATCCCGCTTTATCACTACCCGAAGGAGTCTCAAAGCGGCTAACATTCTCCTTTCCCTTCCTCTCCCACAACAAACACTCTGTGAGGTGAGTGGGGCTGAGAGACTTCAGAGAAGTGTGACTGGCCCAAGGTCACCCAGCAGCTGCATGTGGAGGAGCGGAGACGCGAACCCGGTTCCCCAGATTACAATTCCAGCACTATTAACCACTACACTATGCTAGGAGTGCGGGGCACCCGGGCGCCAGGCCGAGAGTCCAGGGAAGAGCCCGCCCATCAGTCGGAGTGCCGCGGCAGGCTTTTCTGCTGCGAGCGGCTCTGCGCCGCAAGTTTGGGGGCAACCAAGCCAGTGAGACCCTGAGGAGGTTGGCTGGCTCTGCCCTCCTGCGCACCTGGGACTGGGCTACCTGGGGAGGGAGCACCAGGCGGATCTTTGCACCCCGGTGGCGCATATGCTTAAGACAGGCCTGCAGACACGGGGTGTGTGTGTGTGTGTCAGGCTTTCTACACTTTGGGGGGAGGTTGCTAAAATCCAAGGATAAAACCAACCGGGCAGCATAGTATCAAACCCAACATTACCTCAACGTTTTTTTTAAATGTTTTATTACCAATTTCAACATAACAACATATCAAAACATATCATATTCATTATTCCCCCCTTTCTCCCCCCCAGGTCCTCTCTCTGATTTCTCAGCAAATATTATTCTCTGCATGTTATAAAATTATACAAATCCTTACATTATCTTTCTACCATGTTATCAGCCAATAAATTTGTGTATGTTCATTCAAAACCTGCCAAGGAGTCCAATTCATTTTGTTGTCTTTTTACTTAAAATTACCTCAACTTTCTAAGCAGCTTGTCTAAGCAGGAGTGTTTTTAGCAGGCGCCGAAAAAAGAACAGCGAATGCTGATATCAATAGGCAGGGAGTTCCGAAGGACATGCGCTGCCGCACAAAATGGCTGAGTTCTTACAAATACAGAACGGGTATTTATGTGGCACCTGTGGTAGTGCCGATTCCTCTGACTGAAGCAGTCAGGTGGGCACATGTGAGGTAACGCGGTTTTGCAGGTAAACTGGTCCCAAGTTGTTCGGAGCTTTCTATACTAATAGTAACACCTTGAACCAGACCCAGTAGCAAATCGCCAACCAGCAAGAGCACAGGGGTTATATGCTGGCAAGGCCTCACTCCTGTCAGCAATTCTGCTGCAGCATTCTGCACCGGCTGCAGCTTCCGGATCATGCGTGAGGGAAGCCCCCCATGTTAGCTGTGATAGCTGAACAGGCTCCAGCACCACGTGTTTTTAATACCAGTCATGGGAAGCAAAGAGAAGGGGGCATCCCAGGAGGCTGTCCCATTTCTGGTTCTCGGATTGGATGGCGCTTCCCTGACCACCTCATTGCTGTGCAGCTGCCTATTAGCTCTCCAGTTGAATATTAACACAAGCGAGCCTTTATTTGCTTGGCGTTAGGGGAGGGCTGTTCTTGGTACCGATCTCCTCCGGGTTGTTGCAAAAAGCAGGTTTCGCAACGCTCTCTACCTGCAGAGCATTTTAATTAAGAGAGCGGAAGCTCTAGATCACGGCGCTTAACCGGCGCTAAGAGCAGCGTTCGCATAATCTGGCTTCACACGATATGTTTTGAAATTATGTGTCTGTGTGTGGGAAGAACAAACAAGAGCAGTTTGAGTGAGAAAGACAGCGTTTGGGGGTTCTGCAAGGAAGTTATATAAGCATGCCTCTCCCTGCAAATCTGATATGGAACCAATGGGTTTTGGCTGCCAGGGGTGGCGAACCTACACAGCTTAGGCCCAAGCTATCCGAAAGACACTATTTCCTCACGTGAACCTGCCCACCTTTGGAGATCTTCAGGGAAGGTCCTCTCTTGGTCCTGCCGCCTTCACAGGGACACTTTGGGTGGGGACACAGGAGAGGGCCTTCTCGGTGGCTGCTCTCAGACTTTGGATCTCCCTCCCTAGAGACTGGCTCCCACCTTGTTGTCCTTCTGCCAAGCAGGTAAAGAACGTTTTGTTCCAACAGGCTTTCGGGAACTGACTGCTTTTAACAAAAGGCCTGGCGCTGTGTTGCTATTTTTTGACCTGGTTCTGAAAAGAAGGTTCAGCACTGGACATAGAGGCATGAGAAGACCCTACGGGGTTTAAGGTAGCATCCTGTTCTCACAGTAGCCCCCCAGATGACTGAGGGAGGCCCACAGCCTGGACATAGGAGCAACAGCATTCTTCTCACCCACAATTCATAGCAACTGGTATTCAGAAGCAAGTTGCCTCTGGCAATTGAGGTAGAACATAGCCATTATAGCTAGTAGCCACTGGTAGCCTTATCTGGGGGCTTTTTTCCTAGCCAGAACTTTCTGGAACCTCTCAGGTGGGGGCCATTGCCATCCTAAGAGAACAAGGGAGGTGTTCATGGTGAGGTCTGGCACCTCTTTTTCTGAAAAATAGTACAGGCCTTCGTTGTTGTTTAGTCATCTAGTTGTGTCCGACTCTTCGTGACCCCCTGGACCAGAGCACGCCAGGCACTCCTGTCTTCCATTGCCTCCCACAGTTTGGTCAAACTCATGCTGGTAGCTTCAAGAACGCTGTCCAACCATCTCGTCCTCTGCCGTCCCCT